GTGTAGTTAGTTATTGTAGTGTTTGAAGAATGTTAGTATTTCCATTCAGCCACACTGGATACAGAAGTTTGCATAGAGAATTTCTAGTTCCCATTGAAGAATTTTTTGAATTTATGTCTTAGTTCTCTGTGACTGAGTGGTGTGTATATTGTGTGTTGTTTTGGTTACAGTGTGGTCAAGTGTAAAGTGAAGTTTAAATTTTCTAGTGTGACACCGTATTTTTGTGTGTAATATTTACAGTGATGTGTAGTGAGTTATTCTAGTGTTTCAAGAATGTTAGGATTTCCATTCAGCCACATTGGATTCAGAAGTTTCCACTTTCTTGTACATATCTTGTTTGTATGAAGATTTCTTGCTTATAACAATGTGGTATGATAAGCGAAACACATGTTGTGGTTGGTGCTATGCTGGAAATCGTGTTAAATGATAGTGTGAAATGTTCACAATTGTGTGTAGAGAATGTGTTATAGCTTGAAGAATGATGGCAAGTGATTTCTAAGTTAGATGTATATTTCGGGGTGATAGACAAAGGAATGCATTATTGCCATTTAATCTTACAGGCTTACATGTGCTAGGAATTAATATAGGTGATCAAGGAATTATGTTCTTTCCATCTATTAAACGACTTAGAGAATGACATTGTTTACAGAATTGCACGAGTTATTACAGCTGACAGTCTTGTAATGGTATTTTATAGTTTAGCCTAGAAGATATATAGTGAAGTGTTCGTTTTTTGTTTATGTTGAATTATATATTGTTACGTTCAGATCGTAATCAATGATTTTCCCTATCCACTATTTGAGCACTAGTGTTGTGGGGTGGATACCTTTCATATGAAGCATATGTATGTCGTTGATATATGTCGAAAACGTTTGGAAATTGTAAGAGTAAATAAAGATAATTGTGATATCTTGCACTTGAGAGCGTTTTGAAATATCAGTATTTCGGAAAAATAAATTTTCGTCCACTATAAATATCGTAGTATTTTCCAGGTTTCATAGATTATGTAGAGATTAACAGAAAAATTATGCAAGAGTTCATGACGTGAGAAATTTCGGAAAAAAAAATGTCACGTAAAAATATGATTTACTACGCTGTCATATGAATTAAATCGTAAGATATTGGCGACGGCCAAACCGTGTTTAACTGATCATAACGATGCGCAGAAGTCGTTTGCGCACACCTATAATAATGTACAAACACATCCTAACATTAGCATAAATTATCGAACTTGGCCACCTCGAAAGTATAGATGGATGCGCAGTGGTCTTCTGCGCAATCCTAATCTGACCAACGTAAACTAACTTAACTTAAACTAACTTAATCTAACATCAGCGATCCAAGGGCCAGCCCCCAGGTTTACAGGTGGGTGTGCAGTAGTTCATTGCGCACACACAAAAGTGATGTCATTTACGAAGCTGCTATTTAACCGAACGTAATATAGGACTGCCGTAACGTGGAATATAAGTCGAAATATGACGGTATGTATAAAATTGAGCGACTTAACTGTTTTTCCACCCAAAGTATAAATTTGTGTTTTTATATTCCGAGGTTATATTGCTACGTGATATCTTAGATTGTGTCGAGAACGCCGCTCCCACCACAAGAGTTTGCGAATCCCCCACGGTAATATAAATGATTACAGAATATCACATATTATGGCATTATGCTGCCCTCCAATGGCATAACTTTATGATAAAATATCTTTGTCAGTGAAATCGTTCCCTTGTTTCTCATGTATGGATACGCGACCAATTGAGTGAGTGGTGGGCATTTGTTTCGCCCGAATTTCCCTTCGTTGATAGGAAGTCGAATAATTTTATACACGAAAATGCGTAAAAAATAAGGTGAAAAATTACCGTCCTGTAATCGGACTGATATTCCAATCTTTCTGTTTCAGTCATGTTAAGAGGTTGTCCGCCCTGTCAGTGTGACCTAAATACCCGGTGTGCATCATCAAGGTTGGTTTCATTCCGGGTATGAAGAGGTATTTATAAATAATAAGAGGGTGTTATGTGTATGTTTATATACATATATGTACATGTTGTGATTAATTGTGTGCCTGAAAGTATATGTTAAAGATTCAGTGAGATAGTGCAAATGGTAGGTGTTAATGTGTGTATTAACCTGGACCGAGTAATGGCCAGTGCACGAAATTTTACAAACATGAGTTTCATCTGTTCCACAACGAAATCGAAGTATTTTCCCTCTGAACCATGAAATTGAAGTATGTGTGAAGGAAGAATACATGATAAAAGTGATTTAACGAAATTAAGTGAATATAAGAATAGTGGGTGTGTAGTGAGGCAATGTGTCTTTGAGGTTTTTCTTGCACTATTAATAATATCGTGTGAATTATGTGGAGTGGTTTGGATGAAATGTGTTTTAGTGGTTATAAAGATAAAGAGTGAAATATATTTAATGAGTGCATATTTGGTATGACAGAAAAGAGGGTGTAGTTTTGGTAGGTATCCTCTGAATATTACATGTGTGTGTAGTTTGTTAGTCAGAATGATACGTTTTTTTTGTTTTTTTATTATAAGTACTTGTAAGAAGGGGGTGCAAATTGAATTTGTAGTTCCCATTAAAGAAGGTGTTTTTTGAATTTATGTCTTAGTTCTCTGTGACTGAGTGGTGTGTATAGTGTGTTGTTCTGGCTACAGAGTTGTCAATTGTAAATTGAAGTTTATATTTTCTAGTGTGGTGTATTTTTGTGTGTAATATATAGAGTGATGTGTAGTGAGATATTGTGGTGTTTCAAGAACGTTAGGATTTCCATTCAGCCACTCTGGATAAAGAAGTTTGCAAAGAGAATTTCTAGTTCCCATTGAAGAATGTTTTGAATTTATGTCTTAGTTCTCTGTGACTGAGTGGTGTGTATAGTGTGTTGTTTTGTTTACAGTGTTGTCAAATGTAAATATAAGTTTAAATTTTCTAGTGTGACAATGTATTTTTGTGTGTAATATATAGAGTGATGTGTAGTGATTTATTGTAGTGTATCAAGAATGTTTGGATTTCCTTTCAGCCACATTTGATTCAGAAGTTTCCACTTTCTTGTACTTATCTTGTTTGTATGAAGATTTCTTGCTTATAACAAGGTGGTATGATAAGTGAAACACATGTTGTGGTTGGTGCTATGCTGGAAATCGTGTTAAATGACAGTGTGAAATGTTCACAGTGGTGTGTAGAGAAAGTGTTATAGCTTGAAGAATGATGGCAAGTGATTTCTAAGTTAGATGNAAAAAAAAATGTCCCGTAAAAATATGATTTACTACGCTGTCATATGCATTAAATCGTAAGATATTTCCGACGGGCAAACCGTGCTCAACTGATCATAACGATGTGCAGAAATCGTTTGCGCACACCTATAACAAAGTACAATCACAACCTAACATTAGCATAAATTATCGAACTTGGCCACCTCCAAAGTATAGTTGGATGCGCACTAGTCATCTGCGCGAACCTCATCTGACCAACGTAAACAAACTTAACCTAACCTAACATCAGCAATCCAAGGGCCAGCCCCCAGGTTTACAGGTGGGTGCGCAGTAGTTCATTGCGCACACACAAAAGTGACGTCATTTAAGAAGCTGCTACTTAACCGAATGTAATATAGGACTGTCGTAACTTGGAATATAAGTCGAAATATGAAGTTATGTATAAAATTGGGCGTATTAACTGTTTTTCAACCCAAAGTATAAATTTTTGTTGTTATATTCGGAGGTTACGTGATAGCTTAGATTGTGTCGAGAAAGCCGCTCCCACCTCAAGAGTTTGCGAATCCCCCACAGTAATATAAATGATTACTGAATATCACATATTATGGCATTATGCTGCCCTCCAATGGCATAACATTATGACGAAAAATCTTTGTCAGTGAAATCGTTCCCTTGTTTCTCGTGTATGGACTCGCGACCAATTGAGTGAGTGGTGGGCATTTGGTTCGCCCGAAATTCCCTTCGTGAATAGGAAATCGAGTAATTTTATACACGAAAATTGGTAAAAAAAAGTGTGAAAAATTACCGTCCTATAATCGGACTGATATTCGAATATTTCTGTTTCAGTCATGTTCAGAGGATGGCCGCCCTGTCAGTGTGACCTAAATACCCGGTGTTCACCATCAAGTTTGGTTTCTTTCCTGGTATGAAGAGGTATTTATAAATAATAAGGTGTATGTTTATATACATATATGTAAATGTTGTGATTAATTGTGTGCCTGAAAGTATATGTTAAAGATGCAGTGAGATAGTGCAAATGGTAGGTGTTAATGTGTGTATTATACTGGACCTTGTAATGGACAGTGCACGTAATTTTACAAACATGAGACATGAGTTCCCTCTGTTCCACAATGAAATCGAAGTATTTTCCCTCTGAACCATGAAACTGAAGTATGTGTGAAGGAAGAATACATGATAAAATTGATTTAACGAAATTAAGTGAATATAAGAATAGTGGGTGTGTAGTGAGGCAATGTGTCTTTGAGGTTTTCTTGCACTATTAATAATATCGTGTGAATTATGTTGAGTGGTTTGGATGAAAAGTGTTATAGTGGTTATAGAAATAGAGAGTGAATTATATTTAATGAGTGCATATTTGGTATGACAGAAAAGAGGGTGTAGTTTTGGTAGGTATCCTCTGAATATTACATGTGTGTGTAGTTTGTTAGTCAGAATGATAAGTTTTTTTTTGTTTTTTTATTATAAGTACTTGAAAGTAGAGGGTGCANAAAGTGAATTTGTAGTTCCCATTGAAGAAGTTATTTTTTGAATTTATGTCTTAGTTCTCTGTGACTGAGTGGTGTGTATAGTGTGTTGTTCTGGCTACAGTGTTGTCAAGAGTTAATTGAAGTTTATATTTTCTAGTGTGGCGTATTTTTGTGTGTAATATATAGAGTGATGTGTAGTGAGTTATTGTAATGTATCAAGAATGTTAGGATTTCCTTTCAGCCACATTTGATTCAGAAGTTTCCACTTTCTTGTACTTATCTTGTTTGTATGTAGATTTCTTGCTTATAACATGGTGGTATGATAAGCGAAACACATGTTGTGGTTGGTGCTATGCTGGAAATCGTGTTAAATGACAGTGTGAAATATTCACAGTGGTTTGTAGAGAATGTGTTATAGCTTGAAGAATGATGGCAAGTGATTTCTAAGTTAGATGTATATTTCGGGGTGATAGACAAAGGATTGCATTATTGCCATCTAATCTTACAGGGTTACATGTGCTAGGAAGTAGTATAGAGGATCAGGGAATTATCTTCTTTCCATCTATTAAACTACTTAGAGAATGACATTGTTTACAGGATTGCACGAGTTGTTACAGCTGACAGTCTTGTAATGGTATTTTATAGTTTAGTCTAGAAGATATATAGTGAAGTGTTCGTTTTTTGTTTATGTTGAATTATATATTGTTAGGTTCAGATCGTAATCAATGATTTTCCCTTTCTACTATTTGAGCACTAGTGTTGTGGGGTGGATACTTTCATAAGAAGCATATGTATGTCCTTGAGATATGTCGAAACTTTTGGAAATTGTAAGAGAAAATCAAGATAATTGTGATATCATGCACTTGAGAGAGTTTTGAAATATCAGTATTTCGGAAAAATGCATTTTCGTCCACTATAAATATCGTAGTATATTCCAGGTTTCATAGATTATGTAGAGTTTAACAGAAAAATTATGCAAGAGATTATGACGTGAGAAATTTCGGAAAAAAAATGGCCCGTAAAAATATGATTTACTACGCTGTCATTTGCATTAAATCATAAGATATTGCCGACGGCCAAACCGTGCTTAACTGATCATAACGATGGACAGAAATCGTTTGCGCACACCTATAACAATGTACAATCAAAAATTAACCTTAGCATAAAATATCGCACTTGGCCACCTCCAAAGTATAGATGGATGCGCAGTAGTCATCTGCCCAAACTCATCTGACCAACGTAAACTAACTTATCCTAACCTAACATCAGCAATCCAAGGGCCAGCCCCCAGATTTACAGGTGGGTGCGCAGTAGTTCATTGCGCACACACAAAACTGACGTCATTTACGAAGCTGCTATTTAACCGAACGTAATATAGGACTCTCGTAACGTGGAATATAAGTCGAAATATGAAGTTATGTATAAAATTGGGCGTATTAACTGTTCTTCAACCCAAAATATAAATTTTTGTTGTTATATTCCGAGGTTATATTGCTACGTGATAGCTTAGATTGTGTCGAGAATGCCGCTCCCACCTCAAGAGTTTGCGAATCCCCCACGGTAATATAAATGATTACTGAATATCACATATTATGGCATTATGGTGTCCTCCAATGGCATAAAATTATGACGAAAAATCTTTCTTGTCAGTGAAATCGTTCCCTTGTTTCTCGTGTATGGACACGCGACCAATTGAGTGAGTGGTGGGCATTCGTTTCGCCCGAAATTCCCTTCGTGGTTAGGAAGTCGAATAATTTTATACACGAAAATGTTTAAAAAACAGGGTGAAAAATTAACGTCATGTAATTTTTCTGATATTCGAATGTTTTTGTTTCAGTCATGTTAAGAGTATGGCCGCCCTGTCAGTGTGACCTAAATACCCGGTGTGCACCATCAAGTTTGGTTTCTTTCCTGGTATGAAGAGGTATTTATAAATAAAAAGAGGGTGTTATGTGTATGTTTATATACATATATGTACATGTTGTGATTAATTGTGTGCCTGAAAGTATATGTAAAACATTCAGTGAGATAGTGCAAATGGTAGGTGTTAATGTGTTTATTATCCTGGACCGAGTAATTGCCTGTGCACGAAATTTTACAAACATGAGTTTCCTCTGTTCCACAACGAAATCGAAGTATTTTCCCTCTGAACCATGAAACTGAAGTATGTGTGAAGGAAGAATACATGATAAAAGTGATTTAACGAAATTAAGTGAATATAAGAATAGTGGGTGTGTAGTGAGGCAATGTGTCTTTGAGGTTTTCTAGCACTATTAATAATATCGTGTGAATTATGTGGAGTGGTTTGGATGAAAGTGTTTTAGTGGTTATAGAAATAGAGAGTGAATTATATTTAATGAGTGCATATTTGGTATTACAGGAAAGAGGGTGTAGTTTTGGTAGGTATCCTCTGAATGTTATATGTGTGTGTAGTTTGTTAGTCAGAATGATACGTTTTTTGTATTATTATAATTACTTGTAAGAAGAGGGTGCAAAGTGAATTTGTTTTTCCCATTGAAGAAGGTATTTTTTGAATTTATGTCTTAGTTCTCTGTGACTGAGTGGTGTGTATAGTGTGTGTTGTTTTGGCTACAGTGTTGTCAAGTGTAAAGTGAAGTTTAAATTTTCTATTGTGACAATGTATTTTTGTGTGTAATGTATAGAGTGATGTGTAGTGAGTTATTGTAGTGTATCAAGAATGTTAGGATTTTCTTTCAGCCACATTTGATTCAGAAGTTTCCACTTTCTTGTACTTATCTTGTTTGCATGAATATTTCTTTCTTATAACAAGGTGGTATGATAAGTGAAACACATGTTGTCGTTGGTGCTATGCTGGAAATCGTGTTAAATGACAGTGTGAAATATTCACAGTGGTGTGTAGAGAATGTGTTATAGCTTGAAGAATGATGGCAAGTGATTTCTAAGTTAGATGTATATTTCGGGGTGATAGACAAAGGATTGCATTATTGCCATCTAATCTTACAGGCTTACATGTGCTAGGAAGTAGTATAGGGGATCAGGGAATTATCTTCTTTCCATCTATTAAACTACTTAGAGAATGACATTGTTTACAGGATTGCACGAGTTGTTACAGCTGACAGTCTTGTAATGGTATTTTATAGTTTAGTCTAGAAGATATATAGTGAAGTGTTCGTTTTTTGTTTATGTTGAATTATATATTGTTAGGTTCAGATCGTAATCAATGATTTTCCCTTTCTACTGTTTGAGCCCTAGTGTTGTGGGGTGGATACCTTTTATAAGAAGCATATGTATGTCGTTGAGATATGTCGAAACTTTTGGAAATTGTAATCAATGATTTTCCCTTTCTACTATTTCAGCCCTAGTGTTGTGGGGTGGATACCTTTTATATGAAGCACATGTATGTCGTTGAGATATGTCGAAACTTTTGGAAATTGTAAGAGAAAATCAAGATAATTATGATATCATGCACTTGAGATAGTTTTGAAATATCAGTATTTCGGAAAAATGCATTTTCGTCCACTATAAATATCGTAGTATATTCCAGGTGTCATAGATTATGTAGAGTTTAACAGAAAAATTATGGAAGAGATTATGACGTGAGAAATTTCGGAAAAAGAATGACCCGTAAAAATATGATATACTACGCTGTCATATGCATTAAATCGTAAGATATTGCCGACGGCAAAACCGTGCTTAACTGATCATAACGATGCGCAGAAATCGTTTGCGCACACCTATAACAATGTACAATCACAACCTAACATTAGCATAAATTATCGAA